GGGGCGAGCTTGGCCGGGCACCCACTGCCGCCGCACAGCGCAGAGCCGGCAGCCTCCCGGCTGGTTAATCTTTAACATTTTCCCGGTGCTAAAATTAGCCCCGACTGGAGCCGCAGCGCGGGGCGGGGGGGGGGGGGGGGAGCCGGGCGGACGCCCCCTTCCCCCCCGGTAGCCCCGGTGCCGTCCCACCGCCGGGGGTGTCGGGGTGGTTCTGGGTGCGCGGAGCTGGGTGGGAGCCAGGCTGGGTGCAGGGGGGCTGGGAGCGCTCCCACACCACGGGGGTCCCTGCTCCGGCCGACCCCCCCATCGGCTGCCGGGGCGCGGGGCTCGGGAGTACCCCGAGATGGGGTGGGGGCAGCGGGGAGCCCCATCCCCACGCTCCAGGGACCCCCAGGGCCGGGGTGGGGCTCACCCACCGACACGAGGGAGCCCTTCGGGTAGGAGCGAGATGGGACTGGCAGCGCCAGGCCCTGCCTGCACCAACATGCTGCCAGGCCCGGCCCTGCGGTTCCCCGGGCTGGTGGGGAGCGGGGGGGGCAAGAGCCAGCATGGGGGTCCAGAGGCTCCCACCAGCCCCACGTTCCCGGTGTGGGAAAGCCATCCCTGCGGCTCTGAGGGATGCTGTGGGTGCTGCAGAGGGATGGGGAAACTGAGGCAGGGCTGGAAGGGACTGCAGCCTGCAAGGGACATGGAGGGGGGGGTGTTCGATTCCTTCAGCCCCCCAAGCAGAGCCCGGGAAGGGGCTGCACCAGGGGCAGGGGGGGCTGGGGGCCATGTACCCTCACCCCCTGTGCCACCAGTGCCCCTGCCCACCCCGGTCCCCACGCAGGTGCAGGGCGCTGGACGTGGGGTACTGGCCCAGCGGCACTGGGGGCCAGCGTGTCCAGCCTGTGTCCCAGACCAGTGTCCCGCTTTCGGCAGCAGCTTGTCCCCCATGGACGCTGTGCCCCGGCACGGTGGTGTCGGGGGAACCTCAGCCCCAGCTTGGCACAGATCCGTGGCTGGGTTAATAGGCCAGGGCCTGGGGGGCGGCTGGGGGGACGCTCTGCACGGCCCCTTCTGCAGGGACAGGTCCTTGGGCCTCGGAAGGACCCTGTGGGGGCACTGGTGTCCCACCATGGCGTCCCTGGGGCACGCAGGCACAGCCCTCTGGGCACCCGTCAGGCTGGGGACCTGTTCAGTGTCCAAGGTCGAGGGTTGCTCTGGTGCTGGGCGAGGGAGCGGTGCCTCAACCAAAGGTCGCAGCGGTGGCTGGGTGCTGACGCTGACGGGCACCGCTGCCGGTATCGGCCCCTCGGTTCACCCAGCCGTGCTGTGCCAAAACACCCTCCCCACGGCCGGTGCTGCTTGTGCTGGCCCTGAGAGCCCAACCGTGGGCACCAGCTTCCTCGGCACCAGCGCAGTGTGCCCTGAGCGCGGCTGCCCAAATAGTTGCTGCTGCCACCTGCCCTCACTGCCTGCCTCGGTTTCCCCAATTGCCCTGATCCATGTCCCGGTTTGCCCAGGCTCTCGCCGGGGCCGGCGGGTGTGCCGGGGTGTCACGGCTCAGGTCCTGCCCTGCCGGTGCCTCTGCCCCTGTGGCACGCTTCTCCCGGGACCTGGCTGCCCCGCAGGGCTGGGAGTGGGTTTGTGAGTCAGCATCGCGCAGGGGGCGGGGGGGGGGGGGGCGCGCGGGGGGGGGGGT